GCATTGACCCATCAGTGTCCTTTGATCTCCATCAGCCTTGAAAGATGGCATATATCTCTGGCTATCTTTGGTGGATAAAGCTGGGATGGAGTTCATTTGAAAGGTATAGCTTCCTACTATCCTTGAGCCTCACCAGTTATATTTTATGTTGCAATTACCTTGATCTATTCACTGCTAAGCATGCCTGAATACCAAATGAAGCAGTATTTTGCTGATATCTTGGGACTAAATGCATGGAATCTCTTGATCTAAGTTTATATGATGCCATGTGATAGTCCCCCACACCTCTACCCATTTCTAAGTCCACAGTAAGTTTAAGGGCCATTCAATTCCCAGAGACCTTAAGTGCTATATAACACAGGATAGAGAGATGCCAAAATGGTGGGGGCACCATTTCCTGGGAGGTGCATGATACCCTTACCAGTTGATGTACTCAAATCAACTACATTCACAAAGGTCATCATATAGTGAACTCATCATTTTTTGGAGAGATAACACTGATAATGATACTGTAAGAGATCCAGAATAGCTATGGGGTTGATTCAAGTGCTAGACAGGTTCATTTGAGGGTTTATACCATCCTACATCCAAGTTTTGGATCATACTGAAAATTATTTTCTGACCAGTTGTAATAGCGAAGAGACTCTCTTTTGCTCTATGGGTACCTACCCTCTCTTCAGCTACCTCCTGTAACACATACCAGAACCACAACTAATTATAGTTCAGGGTCCTAGTACACATCCAAACACCCCCATACATGCATCTTAATGTCTAGTACTCAGCCTCTAGACCCCACTATTCATGTAAACCAGTTCTGCACGCAACCTGTCTTGGAATCTTCACCTTAATTCATCTTCTAAGGATATATAGAGACCAATCAGAGTATGTGGGTATCTATATATGCCTCATGGACTGAACTTGATGTAGTTTGATCCATAATCAATTAGCAGATCATGGCTGTATTGCCAGTATGATGTGTAGTACTATTTATCAGTATAATAGGGAATAATAAGATTTTCAATGCATATAATGTGGTGTGAGAAATTTAATCTCATTGGGGGACCCCTCTGTATGCTTCCTACTCTGATTTCATTGGGTACCTCTCACTTCTCAGTGAGTTACTGGGAGATTGATATAATATGATATATGTTATATATACTGGTAGAAATGATACTTGAAATTATGGGGGCCACTAGATTTGAGATAGACATCTATTAGACCAGAATGCAACTTGGATCATGCTTATCCGTGGATTCCTTAGCAAGATATCAAGGGATCATTGTGCCTAGGTAAATTTAAAATATGAAACCTAGAAAAAAACTTGTATAATATTATGATCTCAACCCATGGAACTATAATTACATCAGGACATCCTATGCCTTGATAATTGGCTACCTAGTAGGACAACAACCATCTGAATTCATGTAGACTTAGTAAAGATATTGCAGCATCAATGCATGTGATGAATCATCATGAGATGATATAGGTATAGTAATAAGATTTTATTATCAAGGATAATAATCTTATCATTCAGGTACCCTTGATAGTGCTTCAATGACTTATGTAAGTTGTGTACTTCAAGAGACATTACTAGATCAGGTATGGATCAGCTAATGATTGGCTGGTGCTAGCACAATTATTCAGCTGGGACAATACATAAGTCATTTAATGAAAGTTGTTTATATAGTCAAAATACACAACTTTGATTTTGTGATGATCTGTGACATTCACTGATGATTGTACTGTCAAACAGCAAAAAATTCCTTTTTGGAAGTACGTCACACTATGTGACAAATGTAGCAGGCTGACTGAGGACCTGACTTCAACAACCCAAGTCTGGATAGGATTATATAATGCAATCACATACCACTGTCACATCTGGTTGTTTACGTCCCTACGGTACATAACTTATTCATAATCATCAACTGACAAAGTTTCATTTTGAAGGATTTTGTCACATACATTATACTTATACTATGTGACATTGTGACCAGGACAACAGGATCTGACATTCTCATATAGTATACTTTCAAGTTGTTGCTTAAGTAGAGAAAGTATGACTATTATCACTATTGATGTCATATTTGCCAATTTGGGAAACTAACTTAGATAGCAGTGGATTATTACAGCATTAGCAGCGTAGAAGGGACTTAGCGCTAAGGGACTTGAGAACTTAGAGATGTTGCAGAATTATTGGAGTATTTATTGCAGCATAGGGCATTTGGGATCATCCCTTCATGTTAGAATGCGCAGCCCAGCGGGCCGTTCATTCTAATATGAAAGGATAAATGGAATTGGTAGGTGGAACTTTCAGTACAAAGCTAATAAGGCACAGCGAGACCTATCTCGTACATGTGCACGATGGGCGAATGTGTAGCTTTGAGCTACATTGTGGACATAGTCTGCGCGCCGGCCAGTATGAGGAAACCTTGGAAGCATGTCAGGTTATGCAAACACGAGGCAATTGGACCACATACGATTCGAAACCTAAAGCACCTTCGAAGAAGATCCGCCACCGCCGGACTGCGACCTGGGGACAGACGATATCGATGCAGTTGATAGAGACCCGGGCATCTTCGTTGACAGAGAAAGTAAATAATGCCAAGGGGACCGCACCGACGAGTACAGATGCCGTCTCTTCTAGTAACGCCAGGAAGACGTCGACCAATGGGCGGTTCGTGGCCTTGTCGTTGACTAGTCCGTCGCTAAAAAACAGTTGCAGACGGCGAAACACCCTTTCCTGGGTGACTTGTCGTGCCATCTCCATGGTTAGGCGATTGCACTGAGCCAGATTCATGAACAGTGGCCAGTTACAAGCCTCTAACGTCCCTTTGACGGTGGCGGCCGTGGAAAAAAACATAGTGCAAAGGGTGGCGAAGTCTCGCAGCATAATGCCAGTGTACGGTTCAAAGCCTTCGATTCTCGAGATTAAATACGCTACATCGCGAGGATATTACGCCCGATAAGTTGTCCGCGTAGGAGGCTGCGAAATTTGTGAGGTCCGTGTGCGATCGGACGGACCGGAAAACTTACTACTTCAGAATCGCCTTCACTGTGAGAAGATCGACCCGGGAGATATCACCTACTCCATCGAAATCGGGTTGGTTGCTGTGGTTTGTTTGGGTGCGCATGACCAGGATATTTCCATACCACGGGTGACCGAGATTCGGTAGCAAGCTTCGAATTGCCATGTTATCGTGCTGAGGCGTTACATCCGCGAGAGCGCTCTCCATCGCTTGTGGCAGACAAAAAAACGTGTAGGCGTACTCGAGAGGATCTGGATCGTCGAAAGGCCAGTTACGGATGATGACCATAGAATCTACGCGCTGCATAACCGTACTATGCATCCCAGTCGCTCGCGGGAGCCAGGCGAGGAGATCGAGGTCGCGCGTAGAACTGGGTGTAGTAACATCGACCTTGAGGGGCACTCGAACCAAGGCAGGGTGATCGGCGCCAGTAGGGAATATCATGCCCACAAAGGACCGAGCTGGGGCCTTGGACCTGTAAGGACAAGTGCTCCTAGGGACAGAGAACAGGTTTACCGAGTTAATGCGTTCCACCCTGCGGTTGATGTCGGATATAACCTTGCGAGTGTATAGGGGAATAAGCCTGTTCTCTGCCATGGTCGTGCAAAAGCGATGGATGGAAGCAAACCACTGGACGCCTTTTAAGCTATTCCGCCTGATTTCGGATCGAAGACGCAGGCAAATCTCAGGTCTTAGCGGGAGAAGAAACGATGACGTGTGACCCGTAACGTGACGTGACCCGTAACATGATGTGACAGTACTCGTGCAGTCATTTTCCCTGCCCGCAACTGAGCATATATTCAACTCATATTGTGAGTGTTGATTGAGGGTCAACGTTTGGGATTTCATTTGTCTTTGTACGGAACAGGTTCAAGCATATTATCCTAGCAGTATCGTTGTTGGCCTCGGCCTGTTCTAGCGGAACGTCATAATCGAATTCGACATACAAACCGAGTGCATATCTACCTCAATGGCTGCTTCTTTCGTCGCGGCGTTAATTAACTTGATCTTCTTTGCTCGAATTTGGTAACTCTGTCCGAAGGTCATCTTCACGCGATGAAGCCAAACAAAGAAACCTACGCGCTCAGACCGTATTGCCTCTCCTCCATCTCGAACGGTGTCGAATCGATATAGTTGGCATTCAACTACCACCGTATCCCCAACTTCAATGGGCAGATCGCTCTGACTATTGTAGCGAGAATGGCGATACGACCAAGCGTTTATTGGTGTAAAAATTTCAGGTTCTTCACCAGATCTTTCGACGTCTACGAGGAGGTGAGAGCTGTGTACCCAATTTGTGAACTCCATTTGCTAAGGAATAAAGACAAAACATTCAGAAATATGGACAGGTGCGTGCAACCTCACCTACCAATGCGCGCTCGCCTAACCGGTCTCGGTCTGCTTTCAGAACTTTTTTGAGTGATAGTAGCTGCGACAGCCACAGCTCTTCGAAAGCCGATATATCCCATCCTTTGTCTGACCAACACGGCTTCATGAGAACAACTTGCTGGTTATTGTGTGGCGGGGGACCGCGAGTCAAATCTGCAACTTGTCCTGCGACCACACACGTGTACACGGAGGTTGCGGAGGTCACGCTGTCGATGGATTTGAACGAGCTTTCTCGCGTAGCATTTGCACCGGGAGGGAAAAAATCCACTTCGTAGCGAGCGGAGCCGATGAATCGTTCTGCTTGGTTGTGCATAGCAGAGATGAGGTGTCTAGGTTTCAGGGCGCAATCAGGCGTAAGCCAATGGGTAAAAGTACGTCGAAGGTAATTGTGATCATAGTGCATGAGCTCACAGAGCCATAGGACATGGTCGTAGTGGGACGGCATCAGAGGTGCGCTTTGTCTCACCAGAACTTATTATAAGAGGCCATCCATCGCAGATACTTTCGAAGTTCCTCTCCCCATTCCCAGTCAGATCTTTCCTCGCACGATCGATTCCTCACATATCGTCGATTAGCTGCTTCGGGATGGAAAGCGCCCTTCGAACGCATACCCTTCCCCAAGCTCTCAGTTTACTCTACGACATATGCCAGGTGCCGTACAAAGCGAAGAGGACATGGAAGACCCTGTTGGAATACCTCGAAAAATGCGATGGCGATGTACAGGAACGGATACATCGGGCCGCACAAGCGAAAATCGGTTCCAAGCGAAAGGCGGTGGATCCGATCACCTCCGATGCACGTGCCAAGAAACGCCCACGACTTCGAGACGGCCACGGACAGGATCAAATACCTGCACACCAATCAGCATCCAGAACTGTGCAAGAACTGGTGGACGGACCCTTTCTTGCGATTGCGCCCGAGCACGTGCTTAATGACTGCATAGCAAAGTATGGCCAATCCTCTTACCTGGCCTCTTACCGAGAGGTACTGACAAGGGCACAGTTTTATAGATCATACTGGCAATGCAGCCATGGCCAAAAAGACTTGTATCGTGTGCGCGCGCGGCGTATGTTCGCACGTTCATTTCATACCATGGCCATGGGTGATATACCCAATATTCACATTTTACGACCTACCCATCCTCATCATGGACATTTCCTCGTCGACGGCGCGTTACTACACTCAACTGCTAATCCCGACAGTCTTAACGACGTGTGCAAATCATGCCTAGGCAATCTCACTAAGAGCACGCTACCGAAACTTGCACTCGCAAACAATATGTGGCTTGGCGACGTCCCATTCGAACTTTCCATATTAACTCTTCCCGAACAGCTACTGGTCTCGCTATATTTTCCGGCAGCTTATATCATCAAGATCTACCCCAAAAACGTAAAACCTAGCCAAGACCCAGCAAAACGAGCAGAAGAAACAATTCCAATTGCCAACGAGAAGCTGAGAGGCAATGTATCCACGTTTAGGCTACCGACAAACGAAATAGCACACATGGTGGCCGGGAACAACGTGCCTCGACCCTCCCTCCTCCTAGCCGCCGTGATAGGAGTGACTTTTGTGGGGGTCAACCCGAAGACAATGAATATCATGCCCGGGATTTTCCGGGTACGCCGCCAACGCGTATTCGACGCTGTGATGTGGCTCAAAACGCACAACGCAATCTATGCTGATGTGATTATCTCAGAGGAGAACTTACGATCTCTTCCGGAAGATGGCGTCCCTGAAGAGATATCTCAAAACATAACAGTTTCGGACGACATCGACGCCGTTGGTCGCGAACATGCTGGATATGTACCCACCTCAACAGGCGACCACTCCGATAACGAGGAGGACGGGCAACCAGACTTCACCCAAGACAAGGACACGGAAGACGACGAGAGTGATAATCTCTCGATAGCGCACGAAAGTACGCATAGCTCTGTCGATAACATGGAGGTTGAGCCCATTGGCACTATTCCATTCTCATCTCCGCTCGGTACTCGATACTTATATGATTTCTTGCCATTTTTTTGACGTGTCTCAGTGTCTACTTCTAATCAACGAACAACGACTGACGGTGGGCTCATCCTCATTGATTACGAAGGATTTTCTGACAGAATATCCAGAACCTCAAGTTTTCCCCCTCCAACCACATGGAGTGCTAGATGTTGGGGGCAACAATATCCCTGAGACGACGTTGTTTTCCCATGCAGTGGAAAATGTGGTGCCAGCTCTTTACGCCCAAGACTACGGCGTCCGAAAAGGCAATGCGTTTGTTAACGAATACGCAAGGGTGGATGACAACCGGGAACGCTACGACGGGGGAACCATTGACCCCAACCACTTGCTGGGAGCGTTTCCAATTCTGTTTCCTTATGGTTTAGGAGGCTTTGAGGTTGACCGCCAGCGCAAAGTGACATATGAAGAACATGTGAAATGGGCGCTCCAGTACGAAGACTTCAGGTTCCGAAAACACACCCTATTCGCCTTCCAAGTGTTTGGCGTTCTACTCAAGAGGCAGATTTGCCGCTCGGCCAGCCTGCAAATTGACCATAACCAATTTCTTGCGAATCAGACAGCGATTAAGCAATTGACCCCCAAAGATCTTTTGCGTGCAAGCGAGGAAGAGTCAACAGGGCGAGCTATCTCCAATCCAACGATCAGGCTGCTTCGCAAGCATATAACTACAGTGCGGGCTCGAGTGCAAGGGACGGATGAAAGTAGGGTTGCCATCCGCGCTCAGATTTGGGGCATGACTATCAAGTATAACCCGCCTACTATCTGGATGACGATCAATCTGTCCGACACAAATGATCCAATAGCACAAGTACTTGCTGGACAGGACATTGATCTCGACGATTTTGTGGCCAAAGCAGGTCCCAAATCGACAGTGCGTAGTCAAACAATCGGATTGGACCCGTTCGCCGCTGCCGAATACTTCCATATTGTCATACGCCTTCTTCTGCAAGACATGCTGGGAATAACAGTCGGCGTCCATGGAGCTGTGTCGCGTAAAGAGGGGATATTTGGCAAGTTAAACGGCTATATTGGTACTGTCGAAGCTCAAGCCCGAGGATCGTTGCATTTACATATGCTTCTTTGGCTTCCCGATGCCCCAACATCCGCTATGATGCAAGAGGCGCTGAAAAGTGACGCGTTCAGGCAGAAGATCAAGACTTTTATACGCCACAATATCCGATCAGACATACGAGGCGTAATGATGCCCGCGGAGGCGCGAAAACGAGCGGCCAACAAGGTGTCATACTCGCGACCCGTCGATCCGCGCAAGGAGGGGTACCAGCAAAAAACCTCAGCGGTCGAGGACCACAACGCAGCAGCACTGCAGAGCCATGAATGTTCTATTTACTATTGCCTCAAGTCGACGAAAGGACGTGTCGCGTGTAAGCGCGGCTACCCATGGCCCACGTATCCTGATGACTGGGTTGACGCAGACGGTCGATGGGGAGCTAAAAGACGGTTCCCTTTTCTCAACCCATGGAACCCGCCTATTTTCAGTGTCACTCGTTCCAATATGGACATCAAATTGCTGACGAACGCTTGCGAGACAAAAGATATAGCCTTCTATATAACGTTATATATTGCCAAGAAACAAGTCCAAGCAGCAAACGCGTCTGCAGTACTCGCCCGGAGCCGGGCCTTTGTCCGAGATGAAGATTCCACTACTCCAGTTCAAAATGCAAACCGCCCTAACAATACCCGTATCAAGCGGAGGCGAAATCCAAGCACTCAACCTTCGACTACTAGAGCAATGTGCGAATACACTTAGCAGGCAATACGAGTTAAGCGGGCCTGAGGTAATGAGTTATTTGATGGGGTGGGGGGACAGATACATGTCGCATACCTTTGTCAAGTTATACTGGGACTCGATCACAGCCAACTTGCACAGGCGATTTCCTTATTTAAAGACAAGGTAAGAACTAACCTCACTGAGTTGCGATGCCAGCTGAATTTTATACTCCAGCGCAGATTATAACGCGGGCGCGTCCCAGGTAAGATGCACGCTCTAGCAGGCAAAACAATGCTGATTATCGAGTTCTACATAGGCCGGAACTATTATACTCGAAAACGGCGAATTCACACTACAAGATCAGCTGGGTCAATACGCGGACAGGGGGGAAAAGCTGGAAGACATGAACATGTATGAATTCTTTCTGCGCACGTACCACGTGTCGTCTGCAAAAGGCACGTCAAGCGAGCAAGATGCGGACGACACGGAAGATGCGAACCGCATCGGGAGACCCCCGAATCAGCGGGTACCTTACACAGATGCCTCGGGTCGCGCAGGTTTACGAGTATTGCGAGGTACAAACCAAGAAACCGCGCTCCATTTGGTCGGAAGATGGCTACCTAAAGTTAACGACATCAACCAAGAGAATTATGCGGCACAGGTTTTGCTACTGCTCAAGCCGTGGAGGACTTTAGACGATCTCCAGGGCACCTACCACTCCTTCGCTGACGCCAAGACCGCATTCTTGCATACTGCTCCCCCAGAACACGGGCAAATCGTTGAAAATATACAGTACTACCACGATAGTTCGGCTCAAGCCCGTCATTCGAAAGATTCCACAGAAGACCCAGAGACAACTGAAGATATCGAACATAACCAAGACACGCCTCAGGCTGCCGAGGATTTCTCACTATTCAACACTCTGTCCCAGGCAGACATTGAAGAAGCGCGACGCACACAGATTTCTGAATTGGACCAAAAGTATGGATTGGACGGTTTGGCGGTGGCAGAACGGGCCGGTATATTCGCAAACCTAAGTCCAACTAACCCTGCTCATCGCCTCCCGTTGGCTGTCAACGCAACTGAAGAGGAGATGCTCGTTCTAAAAGACTGGGAAGCAAAGGTGGCGTCGATCACCCGGTCTCATAAGCAACCTTTGAGTCGCCCACGAGGAGTGAGAGTTAACGATGACGGTGGAATTGAGCATGTGGACCACACCGATTCGGATAATAACAATTCAACTCCAACACAGAGCGATCCGAACGGTGGTGTCGAACGTCTTATCGGTGACGATGACCGACGACGGACCAACGACCAGCAACACGCACTCGATATCCTTAATCGCGAGCAACGCCGTGCTCATAACATTATCGAGCGCCATCTTCGACATACTCTCAATGGCGTTAATCAAGACCAGTTGTTAATGATAGTACAAGGAGAGGGTGGAACGGGGAAGACGGTTCTCCTTAATGCAGTCAGTCATACGTTCGACTTCCTGCAATGCCCCGCGCTGCTGGCGAAAACAGGTACCACAGGGATATCAGCGAGTCTAATCGAAGGACAAACGCTACATCAATGGGCGGGTATACCTGTCAGGTTTTCAGAGAAAGAAAATTGGCTCACAGGTAAGCAACTGACTATCCGTTTCCATGCTCACTAAACTTCCCTACAGGAAGCAGCAAGAAGATCTCGGACCGCCGAACGCAGAAAATTGGGCCAGTGCGGTACCTTGTAATCGACGAATTTTCGATGCTCACCAAGACGACTCTGGCTCAACTGTCACACATTCTAGGGCATGTAAAGTCAGCAACAGGCGACGCACCGCCCTCCAGGCCGTTTGGAAATGTGAATGTCATTCTGTTCGGAGACCCCCATCAATTCCCGCCAGTCGGTAACCCCGCAGGCGCTCTGTACGACACCAGGACAGGCGTCAGCCTACTTGCGCAGCTCGGGTTAGCGTTTTATCGGCAATTCAAGACTGTGGTAACTCTCACTGAACAAAAACGAGTGCAAGACCCACAATGGAACATGTTCCTCAAGCGCCTACGCCACGGCAATTGTACTGAGAGCGATATGGCGATGCTGCGCACTTTGCTCGTAACAGATTGTAAGATACCGACAGATTGGCAATCCTCCCCTTGGAAAGACGCCGTACTCGTGACACCCCGCCACTCATGCAGGATTCTCTGGAACTCAGCATCTTTGACTCGGCACGAAAACTTGAGTGGGCAACGCGTATACATCGTAAACGCAGAGGACACTGCGACCAGGACACGAAGGGCGTTGACGATGCACGAACGCGTGATCGTGGCAGGTATGAACGACAAAAGAACGGGTAAACTGCAAGATCGGGTTGAAATCGCTATCGGAATGCGCGCTATGGTCCTGTGGAACATAGCCACGGAAGCCGATCTCGCCAACGGAACGCGCAGCACAATCACCGACCTACGGCTTGATCCCCGTGAACTGCCAGACATCCACACCGATTCAAAGGGGCGATATATTCTTCATTTCCCCCCCGCCCGTTATATTTATTAAAGTGGACCACTTTACTTTCCCCCCTTTCGAAGGCCTACCTCCGGGAGTGCTGCCGATCAACCCTACAGCTTGCTCTTTCTCGATTTCTACTTCTCCGTCGGATAAGGTCACAATCCGGCGTCGACAATACGCGCTAACTCCCGGATATGCCTTCACGGACTACAAGTCACAGGGTCAAACTATACCTTATGTAGTAGTTGACCTACAGAACCCACCCCGTGGAGGCCTAACTCCTTTCAACGCTTACGTCGCTCTTTCTCGGAGCCGTGGGCGAGACTCTATCAGGATACTCCGAGGATTTGATCCGAAATTATTTACCACACATCCTTCGGAAGCGTTGCGGGAGGAAGATCTGCGCCTCGACAAGCTTACGCGTCAAACTCGAGAGGAATTCCCTCTGACGTAAAAAGAGCCACGCGTGCGCCCGAACCAGACTATGTGTACACAGCACAGGTGGGGAAAAAGAGGCAAATTAGGCAAAATCTTCGGCAACCTTCTCAAACGAAGCGCTTTATCCGAATAGTATTCGCCTCAGTACCTACTCGTGTATGTTGCAACGTTGTGTGAATGACGATAATTTGGTAGCCGCACATTGTGGCAGGTGCACTCGTTCCCGCAGAGTTGTTGATTCCTCACTCTCTCTGAAACAGAGAAGATTTGATTTCAACTATTTCCGCACCGACGTTGTTTCCGCGCAATCGGTGAACTCTCCCATGATCTCCATTGGTTCGCCACCCTATCGTCATCTGAGACAACTTGGGTGCCTAGGTGACATGAACGTGATTATCGGGCCGTTTGGGCCTAGGTGACATGAACGTGACTATCGGGCCGTTTGGGCCTGGCACAACATCATGAACATGAAGAGATTGTCCGCTGATCGGAAAGGTGCGGACATCGGGGGGGAAACTCTGTAAATTTCTCACCATAGGGCGTGGCATCTATTTGGAGATTGTAACCTTCGTCCAAGGTCCATGGCGAGTATGGCTTGCAAAACAGATTCCGTTGATTTGCTTCCAATGCCGTCCCGTGTAGCATTCTATGCTATTTAGGCAGCAATGCAAGCGCGGGCAAGGGCACGCCTCCTCCGACGAGAAACATGGACACAGTCACCTTCATCCCCTCTGATCATATTCGGTGCCACCACTGTGGGAAGGATAAACCTCCTCACAGCTGTGCTGCATGTGGAATTTGTCGCTATTGCAACAAAGACTGCCAGACAAAAAACTGGTCTCGCCACAAGAAACACTGTCGTCAACTCCAGACTAAGCCGACCGTGACAGGAGATCCGGCCACAGCGAACATCCTCCAATTTTTCTTGGAATACGTAGAAGACTGGCGTGCGGCCCTTGGTTTATGGGCACTGTTTGCTGCCAACTTCGCCAACCGTTCTCAAAACTTTCTAGAGTCTCATTTGTGAGTTATGGCATATGCGAAGAACAAAGAACTCGTTTTTGACTCCGAATCAGCTTTGCCACTGCTCTGACCTCCAATCCGGCTCACGCTTCTCAAAGGGAAAAATTGCGCCAGGCAGTCTTTGTGGTAATTTCTCCCCTCCATCATCCGGGAAAAAAAACTGAGTCCAGACAGGTGGAAAGGACGGGATTTTTTTCCGATGCTTCCGTGCAGCAAGTCTTAACCGCTCAAGTTATGCCCGGCGAAACAGAAGAACAGCAAGTTACATTTCTTACAGAATTTCTGTCAGGGTTCGGGTCGGGCCAACGGGCCCTATACGGCCCATCGGGCCCTGACCACCCTTAGAGCCCTAGGGCTTGACAAGCCCTCATATATTCACAAGCTCAAAGCACTGAGCAACAACACTAATATCCTAACGGATCGCGCTTTAGTCAGCCATCAAGCCATCATGACCCGCCATCAGGGATCATGATGCGCCGCCGGACGCCCTTGACAGCGGGCCCAATCGGCCCAGACAACCACAGGGATCAGGAGGGAGCTCCTCACTGTTGCATTGCCAAACACTCCTTAGTGTCGACTTTGGCATGGCTCCTTTCCAGAGGAATGGTCCCTGGGCTCCTAGCGGAGCGACCAGGGACGACCAGGGACATCCCCTGCTCCATTCTGATCGACCCTCAGCGGGCCCGATCGGCCCCTAGCGCCCACAGTATATAAAGACTACAGTATTACTCCTGTACCTTAGGTTTAGCATTGAAGTCTCTTCCTTTAAACCCTACTCCGGCCTGGTCCCCTAGAGCGGGGTTGCTGCAACCATACCCCGGGAAAGGGGCGTCTAGACGACTTCCAACACCCAGGCTAGCTTGCCTCATTGACCTGAGCCCTTGGTTGGGCTGGACAGCTCAGGCTCTTGTCTCTTATGTTCATCCTTGTCCTAGCCACTTCTTCCTGCTCTCTGGCCTCAAGCTCTGGGTTCCCCTGGTACGGGGCGATGGGAGGGTGCGGGCCCGATCGGGCCCGCATGTCACGCGTCACACCGGGCCGTTGCGCGGCCTCCAGAAGCCCCAGCAGCTCACTCCTCCAGTTTAGGAGATGCGTCACCCCTTGGACTGGCAAGCCTCCTCAAGCGCTCCAGGGGTCTCGGGCCCGCAACCCCTGTTGCGGGGCGACGCCCCGACCCCCTGAACCGTCGGGCGTGACCGCGTGACGTCACGCCCCGCCCGAACGGCTTGTTCGACTGGCTAAGGCTATGTCTTGCCCTATGCCTTGGGCACTGATAGGGCTTCTCCTGGGCAGCACTCTTCGACTATGGACTTGTTCCCTTCAGCAGGGGTAGGACACTCTAGGCGACCACTTGTATCCTGTGACGCCGCTGTCATACGACGTGACAGCGGGGCGTCCCGAGTCGCCCCGAGTCGTCCCTACCCTGCTCTCTATTGCAGCGGCACCACCTGCCCTGCCTGGTTGCCAACCACCCGCTCATGGGGGGTTGAACCCTCTTTCCCACACTTGTCAGACTGGCAGGAGACCGTCACGTGGGCCCGGGCCGGCCCTGTTCCTGACAGAATGCTAAACCTCCTTTACTGTCCTTCTTTCAAGTGTGGGGCGCTCTCTGGAAAGCTCAAGTTCTTGGAGCATCCTTTCTGTGCTGAACGACCACTCTATGTGTCGGCACTTCGTCCAATGGGTTGAGGAGTCATCCCTTTTGTCTTGAAACTCCTGGGAGCCAACAAGTCTTGCTCCATTCGTCCTATGGGTTGAGGAGTCCGCCCCTTCGCGTTAAAACTCCTGGGAACAGGTCAAAACCTGCTCCACTCGTCCACTCCGGTTAAGGAGTTTTCTATACCTTCTGCGCCTAACGACAAGACGAAACGACCCGATTCGAACCTTTGATCACCGACAACGACAAGGGACCGAATTAACGGGCCCTTTCGGTTCAAATCTACCCCGCTCGCCATACTCGCGGGCCCGACAATCCGTCTGTTTTGTTCTTGGTGTGCGTTCTTAGGAGACCTTGCGCGGCCCGACTCGAAGTCTGGCCTGTCAATCCACGGGCCCGATGACCCGTTGGTCCGAACACAAACCTTTGTTTCTTTCGCCCCTACTTGGCAAATTCTTTCCCTATACCCTCTTCTTTCGAATTCTCGTACCCTGGCGCCGAGGAGCCATAGTGGTAATATTTAGGCTAAAACCAGTAGGTACAGCTAGGGAACCCATTGCCTACAGGATT